CGGCCTGACTCCCGTGCCGCTGCTCTTTTTTTTTTAAGAAGTTTAAATTTTATTTTTCAATTACAGTTTACATTCAATATTCTTTTGCATAGTTTCAGGTGTACAGCATAGTGTTTAGGCAATCATATACTTTACAAAGCATTCCCCCCAACATTTTCAGTGCCCACTTGGCACCAATCCAGGCTCTTCTAAATGTGTGTGTCTGTGTGTGTGTGTGTGTGTGTGTGTGTTTTCTTGTAGGTTGTGGTAAAAAACAAAACAAATCACAGAAAATAAAGTTCAGCATCTTAACCATTTTTAAGTGTACAGTTTAGTCGTGTTAAGTATACTCACACTCTCGTGCAACAGATCTCTAGGACTTTCTTGTCTTATAAAACGGAAACACTATACCCATTAAACAAGGCTCCATTCTCCCCCGCTAATGCCTGGCAGCCACCATCCCACTTTCCGTCCCTGTAAATTGGACCAGAGCTCTTGGATCACTCCTGGTACCTGCTGATTGTGTGTTCCTCTCACTAAAGTGTAAAGAAAGGGGGAGACCAGAGAAGAGCAGAATGAGGGGAATCTAGTTACTTATTTAGAGCAGTGCCCAAAGAATCAGTGGTAAGTCCAGGGGTGGGCAAACTTTTTGACTCGAGGGCCACAATGGGTTCTTAAACTGGACCGGAGGGCTGGAACAAAAGCATGGATGGAGTGTTTGTGTGAACTAATATAAATTCAAAGTAAACATCATTACATAAAAGGGTACGGTCTTTTTTTCCAATAGTTTTATTCATTTCAAACGGGCTGGATTCGGCCCGCGGGCCGTAGTTTGCCCACGGCTGGGTAAGTCCCTTTAAATCACGTGTGAGTTCTAGTCCTGGAGAGGGCATGTTCATATGACGGAATGGTTAGGGCATGGTTATATCATGTTCTTGCTATGGGACTTGGGAAAGGTTATCTAGCCCACTGAGCTTTGGTTTCCACCTGAAAAATAACCCTACTCACTGGGTTGCTGTAAGCCTTTTAAAAATATGTTTTTGATTGATTTTACAGAGAGAAGGGAGAGGGAGAGAGAGAGAGCGAGAGAGAGAGAGAGAGAGAGAGAGAGAGAGAGAGAGAGAGAGACATCAGTTGGCTGCCTCCCATATGCCCCTTACCCGGGATTGAGCCCACAACCTGGGCATATGCCCCTACTGGGAATTGAACCTGCGACCTCTCAGTATGTGGAATGACACTCAACCAACTGAACCATACTGGTCAGGGCAAGGTTGCAGTAAGTCTTAATGACACAGTTCATGCATAGTGGCTAGCAGGCGGTAGCAATCAAAATGGTGCTTATGGAGTCCTAACTACATGTCAGATGCTACACTGCATGCTGGATGGGCAGGATCGTGGGCAGCAGAGCTCTGAGGTAGGAGTCATTATTATCCACATCTCATTGATTAGGTCTAAGGCCTAGAGAAGCTGAGCACATTCCAGAAGGCCAGTGCTCAGCAGTGGTGGAGGTGGGATTTGGACAAGGTGGTCTGCCTCCAGTGCCCTGGTTCTGAACCACTCAACAAACACAGCTATCTTCCCCTTTCCTTTTTGTTCTTCCCCCGCACCCCTCCCCATTTATCCAGAGTTGCCACCTCTTCCATCCCAGCTTGGTCATCCATCCACCCTGAGTGCATTTCCCTCCCTGAACAGGACTCTCTTGGAGGGAGGTCCCTAAGGCCAGAATTGGGTCTCTATGTGGCTTCCTCTGGAACCACCCTCTATTGTCACAGCCACACAAAGCCTGGTGGGAGTTACATTCAGGCAACAAAAACGCCAGTCTAGGCAAAAATCCTAAAATCCAGCCCACTGCTGCCTGTGTGCTAAAAACCCAAAACCAGAGTTGAAGCTAAAAATAAAACCAGCTTGGCTCTAGGAAGGGAAGGAATCGTTTTCAGTTCTTTGCCGGTATTTGTGGCTGGACAAAAATAAAAACACAACCAAATTTAGCTGTTTGTGCTCTGTCTGCCTCTTTGTAAACCCTGAATGAGGAGTCCAGGGTGGTGGGGCGGGGTGGGGCTCTTCCCCCCACAGCCTCAGGGTCTTTCCACTTCAGTGTGGGCAGGCAGGTTCTCCATATCACAAAGAGTTCCACACCCCTTTTCATTTCTAGCTCATTCCAGAAGTAATTCATGTTTACTCAGTGAACCAAGCCGGTCTGGAAGTTCTTCCTTGAAGAGCTGATGAGGGCTCCTAGCTGTATAAGGTGCACTTTTCACGTGGCTGCTCTAAGAACAGCTCCTGAACAGGGAAATAAACAGAATGAAGTGTGTCTTTCTCCTGAGAGGGACAGGTGATCACTGGGCTGCCAACAGCAGCTTTTGGCCAAGGCACCTTCCATCACTCAAGCTATCTACTCCTCTGTCATCCTGGGCCCAGATGTGGAATTCTCCTGCCATAGTTCAATCTGGAAATAAACCTGTGATGTCTGGATGGAGAAGAGAACTGAAAGGGACCCGTATGAGGACAGACCTCAGGAAGTCAGGAGAGGGGCCACAAGCCAGGTCAGTGATGGGATGAAGCCCATGGGGGAGGGGTGGTTCCCAACTCCCTCTAAGGTCAACACTCTTCCTCAGCTTTCTTGCTAGAACAATGTCAAAAACCCACGGGCTGCTAGTTGCAAGGTCACTGCTTTTCAGACTAAACTGTGAAACTTCAAGAAATAGAGCCTTGTGTTTGCAGTACTGCTGATGACCTCCCTGGAGGTGCCTGGGTGTAAGATCTAATTAGAGGTTGATGCCACATGGTTTTTTGAATTCATTCACTTATTTATCCATTCAACCATCCAACCATTAATGTATCCATTTAACTAGCTACTATCTGTCCATCCATTCATACATCCACTCACCCACCCACTTATCCAACCATTCATTCATCTATCTATCTAATATCCATCTATCTCTGCAGTGATTTTCAATATAAATGTATAAGATTAATACAATTTAGCCCCTTCCAGCATCTGCATGAATAACATAAAGATGAATAAGAATGTCAGATGGCAGTGGAGAAGACAGACATGAAAACAAGAAGTTACACCATGATCTTGTTGGGGAAGTTATTGTGGGAGCACAGAGGAGGGGTGGCTAACACAGACCTGAGTGAAGGAAGGCTTCCCAAAGATAGTGGTTTAGAGTTTAATTATGAGGCATGATTGTGACTCTTCAGGAGAAAAGGAAGAAGGTTCTAGACCTCAAGGGCAGTATGTGCATGCATGGAGGGCTAGGAGACTGAGGAGCATTCGGGGAACAGGCCTGCATTACTAGAATAGCAGGTGACTTGAGAAACACAGGGATGCAGCTGTAGAGCTAGACAATGGTCACATCACGAGGGCACCTGTGGGTCATGACAAAGGATCTGGATTTGGCTGTTCACTGAGAGCCATAGAAAAGGTGTGAGCAAGGGAATGAGAGTCTGGTTTGGATTTTAGAAAGTTCTCTTGAGTAGCAGTAAGCCTGTTTTGAAAGAGGGTGAAAGTGGAAGCAAGGAGACCAGTTAAGAGAGCTCTTGAGTAATCACTGTGACTGTGTGAGGACTGGGTTAGGATGAGAGTGGTATTGGAGTTTAGGAGATATACATGATGCATAATCAACAGGGTTTTGTGACAGAATGCACATGAGGGGTGAGGGAGTTACAGAACTGGAGGTGCTAAAAGTGACCCCTGGGGCTACTGCTTGGGTAACTGATCAATTGAAATTACCAATCACTGCTGAAAGA